TTCAGTTGACCTTGCACCTCTGCAACTACTAGAGCTTGTCCAACCAGGGCAGAGCCGGATGGTCGATGAGATGCGGGACAGGTAAGACTCTTCCACCCGAGGAGACCCCAGAGAGAACACCTCTCTCGTGTCCTTTAGCGTGACTGTACTCTCGTCCAAGTCCACCACGGCGCGAAAGTCCTTGAGAGCGTTGGTGCCCAGGATGGCGTCGACGTGTAGCTTAGGTACGACGGCAAACGGTATTCTCTTCTCGGCAGAGCCCAATGTCACCGGCAAGTAGATTACACCTTCTATATTGAGCGCAGATCCGGACACACCGTTCAGACTGGGTATTAGAGGAGAGTTAGTTAAGCCGAGACGCCTCAATACCCGCCTATGCACTAGGCACGCTGCGGCTCCGGAGTCGATGAGAAGTTCGGCCGGGAGGTTCTCGATAAACCACCACGATAGAGCTTCCACGCCCCCAACCGATCCGATTACTCGCTTGCCGAGGGGAACGATTCCTTCTTCCTCGTCAGCGGACCAGTTATCGGTAGCGTTCGGTACTTCCACCAGGCCTGGCTTGGGGCGAGGTTTTGGAGCGTCGCGACGACGTTCACATAGCCGTACAACCCGTTTTCCTTATCTCGGGAAGAACAGTTCGGTCCGAGGGCTTCGGTACGGTTGCCGAATAGAGAGGAGCAGTCGAAACTGACTACCTTCGGCGCTGGAGAGCACCTAGGAGCAGGATCTTTCCAACGACAGAGTCGGCAGGGTGAACTCATCTCGAGGATCTTCAAGCGGAGTTGGTCAGCCTCCTCCTCGTAAAGGTCCGCAATTCTTTTAGTCAGTAACTCTTTCGACCGCGAGTCAGAGGGAACAGCGAGGCTATTGATCCAGTCCTCGATCCGGCTTAGGAGTTCTTGGAGCCTAGTGGGGGGCGGAGAGTCATCTTTCCTTTCTTCTTCTAGCGATCCTTCGCCAATACACCCTTCACACCAGTCACCTCTACTTGAAGCTTCAGCCTTAATGAGAAAGTATACTGCTCGTCGCACCATGGCTCACCAAGGGTCAGGCACGATACCGCGAGAGTCCAGCAACTCGTACTCGGTTTCACCGTGGTCGGAGGGCCTTTTTGGGGAACTTCCCAGGGCCAGCGCGATATTGTCTTCCACTACAGAGGGGTCCACGGGACACACTTCTCCTGGTAGAGGAGGTACCTTCAGCTCCGGAAAGTGCACTATCGTCTTAGGTGCGTCCCGCCACGAGAACCTCTTCGTCGCGGTCCCTCCACCTTCGTCGCGGTAACCGGGGTCGTCAGATGTCACAGAGTTGATCCGTACTGGCTTTTCCTCTTTGAAATTACGGTTGGCTCGCTTCGCTTCTCCGGACGAGGCCAGCGTCTTTTGGAACCATTCCAACCAGTACTCAGGAGTAGATAGCCGACCGGGGGAGAAATCTCGGGTCCTCGCTAGTTGTTCTTCGGGAATGCCTAGTAAGTCACTCAACTCGGCAAGAGACAACTCCTTCGACTGTTCCGCATTCTCGACTAACCGGCGCCTCAGTTCTACTTCATCGAGAGGAAACAGTCGGTCTTCGAGCTCTTTGTCATACTCTTCTCTTTCTTCAGCCAGCTCGGATGGCTTACCTTCTTCCAACGTATCTAGTTCTTCTTTGGTGAACACCCTCGCGAAGGAAGGCTCCTTCTCCGGTTCATCCTTTGGAGACCTAGCACAGGCGACGTCCTCAGAGTCCTTTTCGGGGGCGTCGTTTCTCTCAGGAGGGGTCACGTCTTTCCCCTGCTCGCGTGGTTCCGTCTTTGATACTGGAACGCTAGCTTCGGTAGCTCCATATTCTTCTTGGTTTGGGCTTTTCGAGTACCTCCGTCACGTCAGGGAGTAACTCTTCCAGTATAGGGCAGTCATGGGACTCACCCTTCTTCCTCGTCTTGGTCTAGCACGCTCGAAACCCACACTCTTGTGGCTTGGTGGCGTCGACGGGTAGTCTCGGTTCCGCCGAGGACGCC